AGGAGCTCTTTCAGTGGTAGAGTTCAGGCGCTAAATTTGCGGTACAAAGTGGGTGTCTTGGGCCGAAGAGCGCACTTTGGTGCGAGTAGTCACCTGCACTATTATCTGTCTCAGTCTTCCGGGAGCGTTGTGTTAACACAGTTATCTACTTCCGGACGAGATGGATGTGCGAGCAGCGTTGACCGCTTCATGTCACCGTCAGGGTCGTCGTTCTTGTATCGGTTGTAGTGACCTCCGATCAACTAAAAGACTGCCGAAAATCAGATAGCAACATGACGCAGGTCACCATGTGACAGATAATTGCGCAAGGAAGGGTTGATGCGTTTTCTACAGTCTACCCTCTTTTTGTGGGAGTAATATGCCATAGAAATGAACTAGCTGGCTCAACTTAATAGCATTAAAGTGCTCCTTTGTGAAAGCTCTCTGTTGTGAAAGTGCTGGTGGGGGTTCGTCGCCTCCTTTTAGGCTAGATCAGCTTAACCATGAAACGTGGGGCAGGAAAGGGGGGGGGAAGCAGTTATTTTCAACTACGTTTTAATCAACTGGATTTTGAAGCCATCATTTCAACGGATGTGGTTTCAGGGAAGTGGTTCAGCTTGACATCAAGATTAAAGATTGTTAATCACGTTTATACGGCCGACGTTTCGGCGTTGTCGTCTTCTTCAGAGCTTGGAAAGCCGAAGGACATTCCAGAAGCTGATCGTCCTCACACTAGTTCACTCACAGGAAGTTTTCAAAATCGTCATAAACTGCTATGATGACCCATGGAAAATATAAGAACTAATCTATCTACCGAAGGTCCCCCATTCCGGTCGACTTACCTAAAGATTGTGGTTCCTACAGTTTCCATGACGTCATCATAGTGGTTAAGATCTTTTTGGACTTCCACAGTAGACTGAACCAGTGTGTGGACGAGGAGCTTCCGAAATGTCTTCTGTTTTCCAGGTTCGCAAGAAGGCGGCGACGCCGAAACGTCAGCCGAATAAAAGTAACAATATTGGTGTCGTGCTTAACCAGTTCGATAACATTTACTAAGGAACATGCCAAAATTTGTAGAGTCACTAAGTCACTTGGACATTACTTCAGTGAACGTTTTTGGGCCAAACAAAGTTCTGGAGTTATAACCCTGAAGTGCGCTTGGCAATGCTGAAAGTGCTTAACATCATTAAGATGATGAATGCCCCTTTTTTTCAAGAGAGCGTGCAGTCTCCAGAGTAGTGCATTCATTAGTGTGATTAACTTTGGGTGTCCTTTTCTTCTTTGGCGCCGTTCTTTGTTGAGAAACTATTATTGTCGGCTAACCTCATGAATACGCGATATAGTGGCTTAGGGCGGTGCGCGCACTCGGCTTATGTGCCCTCCAAGGTCAATGAAGCGCGGCGTTTGTTTGGGCTACAGATCATCGTTTGGCTTGGCAGTTAGCCATAGATTTGCGGAGTTGTTGTGCACTTTGTGCTCACTTGCGCCGCTGTGCAGGAATGTGAAGAAGTCTTATCTCTTGTAAATATCGATATCGCCAGTCAACAGGGTTAAAGAAATAGGCAATATCGGTGGTAAACACGTAGCAACAAGCAACTTTTTTCGATAGAGATAAGCTTTTTGAGATCTGTTTAATTACGATAACAGCTGCAGTTTGCGGTGCAAAAGTTTCTGAAGAAATGTTGTGTTTTGTGCAGAAGGCTTGCCCCAGTCGGGGCTTGAACCTACACCTCACGCTTACCGTTAGTTGTAAAGCATAGCGCCATCTCCGCTTAATGGCTTTTATGCCATAGCTGGCTTTAAACAAGTAGTGGTCAGCACACTAGCTC